TGGAGCCTTTCTGCAGCCTTGGCCGAAGCTTTGACCGCAGCCTCCTCCCAAACTTTAACACGAGTAGCCTCGGCCACCCATTTTTCTCTAAGAGACCCTTTGAGCCGCCTAGCGACACAGTCCTTGGCAGCACGGTCGGCGGCATCATTCAAGGATCTCAAGAAGGCAGCGCTGAAAGAAGAGTGTGTTGGGGTCCATGACGCCTTGCGATTGTGTGCCGGAACCCACATGAAATGAAGATCAATTCCAAAGCAGCGGATCTCGGCAGAAAGCTGCTGGAAATGAACAGAAAACAATGGGAGAGAGGGACACGAAAAGCGAGCCTGAAGGGCCGCTGAACAGTCAACAGCTATCGTGATGCTCCCCCTGGCTCCACGCGAAGCGGCCACAACCACAGCTTTAAGGGCCAGGAGTAGAGCGCATAGCTCGGCTCGAAACGAAGACTGGTCTTCACAACTGTTGCCACCAGCGAACGCTTTGGCACATCGATGCACAACGACCGCATGGGCCGCCACGCCGTCCTTTGCAGAACCATCGGTCGCAATCGCAATGGACGTGGACTCCTGCAGCTCGGTCTGAATGGCTTCAGCCGCTTCGTCAATCAGCCCCTCAGCATCCACAGCGGGCGGTGGAAGCGGAGGCTCGTCGAGGTGTTTGGCCAATAACCGCTCCTCGCCCCGGTGCTTGGGGCCATCGAGGCCACTCCTGAGGTCGGCAGTGGAGGGGCACACCCAAAGCAAGTGAGCACGGCTCGGTCGCAGTGCCCCGCACAGGCACCGGAGGTGCAGCTGGTCACGGCGAGGCCCCACACTTTTCTCGAAGTGCCACGTGGTGCCACCTGAAAGAAAGGCCGCTCTACGATGGAAAAGCGACGATCTGTCAGCGAGAACTCGTTTGTGGCCTTGCAGTCGGATTCGAAAGCGGAGGTGCCGGCAGCTCGAGACCACGAGCGACACCATCCTCAAGTACCCTGTGCATGCTCTGGGACACTCTTCGGCAACGGCTGAGGTATTGTTGACGGTAGAACCCTTCAAGCCAATCCTGAACGATGCGAAAACTTTCAAAGCCGATGTGAACAGTTCTGAAGGCTCCAGCAGCATCCCTTCTGCACAAAGCAGTGGCGTCACGAGAGAACCACCAGCCCGTGCGAGCCAGCAGGCTCTCAGTCTCAGGAAGTTGCGCATGCCAACGCCCTGGGCAGTGTCCAATCGGGACTTCTTCCAGCCATACCGGCGGCTTAGAGACCCATCGCCAAAACAGTCGGCACAGGCCCAGGTCGAGGGCGAAAGAAGGTTCTAACCCCCATCCTAGCAACTCGTAAAAGGCAACCGTGGCCACATCCCCACCGTACCCCGAGCTAAACAAGAAGCGAACCTCGTGCTGCACGGCTTGGACATCCTTGGCACTCGGTCTGGCAAACCCTGCCGCCCATGCCAAACAAGGCATGACAAGCGACCGCACAAGCATGATTCGGGAAGTGGTTGCAGCCTGCGTCCACCGAAGCAATCGCAATCTGAGAACCGCTTTTCGAAGCGAAAATTTCGGGATAGCCCCAGCTCCCTCAAAGTCAAAGGACACACCCAAAAGCTCAAGGGATCCACAAGTCATAAAGTGCCACTTGTCAGCGAGGAGGCGAGTGGCCTCCGTATGATGCTTGGCTGCAACAAAACATTTGTCCTCCGCAAGCTGTAACGAGAAAGCCTGGTCGAAGTCTGCACTTGCGAGCAGAGCGGCATCAAGGTCCTGAAGGGAGCCCCGGGGCTCAATCCAGAGGGTGCGGTCATCCATGAAAATTTGTGCACCGATATTGGTGGAAGAAAGCAGTGAGATAAGGCTGCCGCCGCTAATGGCGATAGCGGGCAGCCTTGCCCAAAGCCCGAACGAACCTGATGAACACCCGGGGCATACGAACCCTCGAAGTTAAAATACCGCTTGGCATCAGAATAAAACGACTCAAGGAGTGGCAACAACTGGGGCGGTGCACCTAATCGATTGAATACTCTGCCTATGGCCGGCACATTCAGGGAATCAAAGTACCCAGCAACGTCCATCAATGCTGCAGTGTTGACACCCCGCTTGATTGCAGCCTGGAGCTGAAACAAGACGTCCGAAGTGGAGCGGCCCGGAAGGCCACCGTGGTCGCTGGAAGAAGCCCATTTGAGGGTCCAGGGACGGAGTGCACGTGCAATGTGCTTGGTCCCAACTCGCCAAATTACCTGAGTGAGAGTAATGGGACGGGTTTTGGGCCCGCCTCGCTTGCGGATCAAGGTGACCTTGGCGAACCTCCAAAGCTTTGGCACTTGGCCCCGATCCCACACATGCTGCCACAGTTGAGCGGCCGCGTGCCACCACCGGTTGGGCAGTCGTGCTACGTCCTTTGCACGCCAGCAGTCAGGCCCTGCAGCCTTATTCGAAAAAGAAGCAGCAATGGCCCTGAGCGCGCCTGGGTCAAACTGAACTTCAACGTGTGTGGGCTCAACAGCCAAGTTTAGGTTCAGGTTCGGACTCCCACTTGCAAAGCCAAGCTTGGGCCTGAGCTCGTACTACCTTGGATGGATGCACAGGGCCAGCGGCTTGTGCCTCCGCCTGGCTTGGGCAGCGTTTTTCAAACTCAAGCTGGGCATCGGCCCTGGATTTGACAAACGCACGCTGGCGGGCAGTGTCTTCCCTCTGCATTGCCTTCCATCTAGTCCGAATTGCAGAAGTTTCTTGCTCTTGAAAGGTCCCAAGCAACTCCCCGACAGGCCCGAGGAGTTTTTCAAGATCCCACTCATGGGTCCACGGAAGGTCAGGCACGATGGCTCGGGCACGGGGTAGGGACTTAAGGATTTTTCGCCTCAAGGCCTGGTCCGGCTTACTAGTCAACATCGAGAGCTGCCGCTGCAATTTCAATAGTACACGCACCGAAGCAGACCCCTCGAACCTTTTACAAGAGTGCACTTCCGCAGCAGTAGGCGACCAGGGCAGACTCCGGGGATGATCGCCCGATCGCGTGTGACACAGGCAGTTCTCGGCCACATTGGAAAGCTCTTGCCAACCCTTATCAACATCCCCCGTGGCTAAAGCTAACCAGAACGGATCAAAATCAGCCTCACCGAGCCACTGCTCAAGGTCGTCAGAAGATGCATCGCAAACCTTGCTCCTGGGCGGCATAGTCATAAACTGGGGAGTGTCAAGAGGTAGCTCATAGACCACCGACAGGTGATCTGAGAACGACGGCTCCAAGTGCCAGACGGCACTGGCCGCCAGTGACCAGTGGCAAACTCCGTGATCTATGCGGCGCTTGCCGCTTGCGTCCTGGGCCCGTGGGCGGTAGGGCAGCGCCCTGCGCGGCGTCGTCTAAAGACCGGATGGCCCCTGCTGCAAGGGCTTCGCCCAGGACGGCCTCTGCCGGTTCGAGGTTCATGTCGCCCGCGACCACGAAGGGTCCTTGGCCCGCAGTGCATGCCGCCAGGATGTCCGAAATTTGGGCAGACGCGGCTGCCTGGTGTCCTGATTGTCCGTAAACGGACACAAAAGCGATCTGTGCATGCTGTGGTGTTCCTTGAAATTCAAAAATGCCTGCCGCGCACCTGGTGTTTCCCACACCCTCTGCAAGTCGGAACGGTCGAAAAGGCAGGGAGCTGACCAGGGCAACTCGACTCAGGCCGGAGTCCTCAGGAACAGACAAAGCGGCGTAAAAGCCACGGGCTTTCCAGGCACGAAGGAAACCCGGGGCTGATGCAACATTGATGTCAGCCTCAGCAATGGTGCAGATGTGCACGTCGTTTGCCGCAAGGAAATTGCAAATGGCATCAACAGACGACACACCTTTGCCAGTAATGTTGACAGTGGCTAGTCGGACGAAAACGGCAAATTAAAAATGATCTCGGCCTGTTCAAGCAAATGGCTTTCCCGCTTCTTGACCGGGCCCTCTGGAGTTTGCTTGGCATGGGCCTTGGTGAGGGTCTTAACAGCCTCAACTCGGCGCTTGGCTTTGCGCTTTGCAGTGGCACGATCACAGAGGCCACGCTTGGCATGGGACAGCGCCTCACTTTGCTGTCGAAATGGTGTTTTGCACTCAAGACACAGCCACCCAAACGATGATCTGAGACCACCTCTGGCTGCAAAGACCTTCGAAGGAGTGGCCCTTGGCCAACAAAAGAGCCGAAAGTGTTCCAATGGCGTTCCCCTGGCAGCACCGATGCGTTTGATACTCTCACGGCCACGGCGTGTGACAGCAGCTTTGTCGATGGTGCTCTTGCGGTCGAGTGCCTTGAATCTGGCCCACGGTACCCTCGGATGGGCGGCGCATCTGTGGGCAAGCTTATCAGCAGTCACAGCATCGGCACTCTTAGAGAAGGCATCCCTAGCAGCAATGCCGAAATCACAAAGCGGGCACCTCCAATGGCAGTTGTCGCCGGCCTTCGCCTGGATGATGGATGGCTGGCGCTTCCCGTGCGGGACCCCTGACGGGATCTGCCCTGGATGGTGGGTCTTGTAGTGAGCATATAGCTTGGCCTGACGGGTAGCCACACACTTGGCAACGGCCCGGAACGGACACAAGGAGCAAATGGCAACTGGACTGCGATCAAGCTGAAGCCCTGCCCTCCCCCAGTAATGCACTTGGCGCTCTGTGGGTGGCTTGCACGCAACACTGGCAGACACTGCATCTAGGTCGTCAATGCACTGCGGCTCGGGAGGCCCAGCGACAACACTGCCAGGAACACTTGAGCTGGCGGACCACACGGTGGGAGGCTTAGACAAAGCCTGGGCGGGTGCCTGTGACGACTGTGAACTCCACTCAGTCCGGGCCTTTGTGCACTTGCGAGCTTTCCACGAAGGGGCAGGTGCGAAAGACCAAACCGTGGCCGGCTTGGAGCAGACAGATGCAACGGATTTGCCCCCGGCTCGAAAGCCTAGTGACGCTGCCGAGCGTACCGCAAGCAGCTCTGCTGGGTAAGCAGTACCCGTCTCAGGCACCAACAGGTCAACATGTTTGTCCTCCAGCCACAAGGCAGCTGTATGCTTGGCTTGTGATGTAGTGAAGGCTTCGGGTTCCAGGGATGAGTCGGCTGGTATCACAACAATGTTGATCCCCCAGCTTCTCGACAGTGCCCGCATTTCTAAGTCCGACGCATAGGCCGATTCGCCCCCAAGGAGCTCGCAGTATGAATCGTAAGTCAAGTCAGGGACGGCCTTGCCCGAAGGGTCACACTTATCCCAAAGTCCACTATATTTATCCTTATGTTGTTTAAGGTGCGTCACAGTGCCTGCCCTCAGCTCCCGATGGTGCGGAGGGGTCTGGTCGGGGTGTATGTGCTTAAGCGCAGCGGCAAATGCGTGGAACACACACGAGCCATCCTTGGGTACTTGCACCTTTTTGCAGCCTTTGGGTATGTCCCGAATCAAGGTTTTGGCCTTCTTGCCCGGACCGAGCTGCTTCTCATCCTGATCCTTGTCGGTGTCTTCAGTGGTGACAGAAACCGCCTGTCGAGGCTCAAAGATGGAGGGTTTGGGTGCCAATGGTAGCACAGAAGAGGCTTTCAGGGGCCGCTGTTGTCGCACCTGATTACGGGGCGGCGCAATGGCAGCCCAAAGCGTCAAAGTGGTCTCACCCTCCGTGGCAGCTAAGGGAACAAGGTCACGGTCCGGCTCCTTGGCGGCTGCCCGAAAGTAGAAAACCTTGAAGTTTTTCTTACGCAGCTGGCGGAGCATGGTGATATCATCGAAGGCGGTCTTCAATACGGTGGCAACCTGGTCAGCATGCCAGTCCGAGGGGACCCACGGTACCGACCACACCTTCTCCACAGCCTCAGTGCTGAGCCGCGGGGCCACGTGTCCAAGCCGCCCTGCCCTGTGCGCCAATCCGAGATCTCCCGCTGTGCGGCGGATGCGTGTCAAGTAGTCGCCGGCACTCTCGCCTTTGTTTTGCTCAACCCAGGTGATTTTAGTCAAAATCTTGGGTTCTGCCCCTGCCGACCTGGCCTGCTCAAAGAAAAAGCCGTCACGCCCCGAAATGGCAAGGACGGAGGACACATCTGGTTCGTTGACTCTCAACAGCCCATACAACTGGCTGCTTTTGCCAACTTTTTCTTCCTTCCATGCCCACGTGTCCAAGGCGTTAAGATGATTGCCACTCAGCCACTTCATCATGTGTTGCGCCGGCTGTTTGAGCATCATAGCCCACGTGTCCTCAACCGTAAAAGGTCGGGGGAGGCGAACATGCAGAACTGCGGAAGGTCGCTTGGTCACCTTCTGTGTGGCCCCCGAGCCCTTGAGGCCTGGGATAGGGTGGGCCGTGTCGGAGCGAATGAACCATGAACTGGCCTTGCGAAATTGAAGCTGATCCTCGACAAGTCCTGGCACTCGATCAGGGCCTTCCGGGTTCAAGACAACAAACTTCAAAGAGTACTGCTTGGAACAGCCTTTTGCCATAGCTTCAAAGAGTGTTGAGCGCTCCTTGGTACAGAGCACAATGCCTTTAAGAACCTCGTTGGCAGGAAGTTTTTCGAGCTTATCGGCAAGGTGGGCTGGGTCAAGCAAAGGATGATCCCAATCCTGCGCCCTCAAGCGAAACTCCTTAGCAGGGTCGGGTCTGGGCTTGCGCGTGACCGTGGTCCAGCCTACATCGGGCTGTGTTCCGCCCACGCCTTTGCCTGCACTTTTGCCTTTGCCCGCACTCAGGTCCGAGGCTGCGACGGCACCTTTACCTTTGCCTGCGCTCGGGGCCGAGTTGGGGACACCTTTGCCGGCGTCCTTTGCATGGCGGCCTTTGGCACCTTTGTGTTTGCCTTTGCCCTTGACCTCAGGCTGGCCCGACATCACCGGGGCCTCCGGTAGGGACTGTGGGTCCACCGCTGTTGCCCTGCGACCCGGCTGCCCTTGCCAACTTTGCCGCCGCTTTTTTAAGCCGGGCTTTCCTGCGTTTGTGGGCTTTGTTGCTCGCTGGAGTCAGAGCGGGCCCATTGGGAACAGCAGCAATGTTCCCCAGTAGGGCGCTGAGGTCAAAGCTCGCAATTGCTTCTTGGATTGCTTTTTGCACTGCTTGTTGAATGAACGCATGAAGTCCTGCCTGTGTTTTGGGACCGGGGCCGGGATTGGAGGCTTCCCCAATCCGGGCGGCATTTAAGTAGTTAAAGTTACGACTAAGAGCGCTGAGGCATGCAAAGCAGTCCGAGATGCACTCCCGACACAGCCACCTTGAAAGCCAACCGTCACTTGCAAAAGGCATGCCCTGTGGAAGTGAAGTCCGGGGTGCCACCTGCTCGGTCTGACCTGAGGAGTCATCGGCAGGCCTTATGCACTGGGTTTCCTCATAGAGGTGTTCACCTATCAGGCCGGGGCAGACAGCAACGCACTCGGTGGCCCCACCTGTGGCAAGAAAGGCGCTCCTGCAGGTTGCGGCCCCAGCCGGGGATTTCTCTGAGCCTTTCGGCCAACTCATACCGCCAGCGAAGCCTGAAGCCTGAGTGTGCAGCCTGAGTCCTGAATCGTCAAGAAAACGCGGGTACTCGACCTCACCATTGGCAACCTCAGGGGATTTACTCGGGCCTTTCGGCCAACCTGCACCGCCGTCGTTGCAAAGGGAACGGTCGAGCGGTCCACAACCGAAAACAAAGCACTGATCGGGAGTACTGTGGGCAAATTTAGCGCTCCTACTGGCACCTGCCTCTGCTGGGGATATGCTAGCACCTTTCGGTACCTTGGACCCCTGAGCATAACAGGCAGCCTGAGTATGCAGCTCGGTGTCGGAAGCACACGATGAAAGAGATTTCGGCCCAGCAGGAATGCACTGTCGGCCGCACACAAACTGGGAGCCCTGCTGCTGAAAGTGGCCTGGATGGTCCGGGCCAGTTGGCTGCCCAGGACCTTCACCAGGCAAGTAGGCACGTGTCGCATGCCAGGGCATCGGTACATGAGTAGCTTTTGCTGCGAAGTTGGCGCTCCTACCGGCTCCTGCTGTTGTTGGGGATATTCCCGCACCTTTCGGCACACTCGACCCATCAATACAACAAGTAGCCCTAGTCAGCAGCCCGTTGCTGAAGTCGTTAATGGTGTCAAAACTGGACCCTTTGCAAGAAGTCGAAACAGTCTGGCATTCGAAAACACACCCACTCTCAAAGTAGCAATGTGTTGGCGCATCCTGCGGCTGTCCTGTCTCGGCACATCCTGAGCACAGAGCTTGTATACACACGGGTAACCCAAAAGGGAAAGGAGGACTAAACCCAAGCCTAGGGGGCAAGGAGGAAACAGGCGTTTGGCAGTCGTCGTCGCAGTCGCATTCGTCTGGCTGCCCAGCACCTTCACCAGTCAGGTAGGCACGGGTATCATGCCGGGGCATCGGGACAGCAGCAGCACTTTCAGCAAGATTGGCGCTCCTACCGGCTACTGTTGTAATTGGGGATATTCCCGCACCTTTCGGCACACTCGACCCATCATAACAACAAGCAGTCAGAGTCTGCACCGGCTACTGTTGTAATTGGGGATATTCCCGCACCTTTCGGCACACTCGACCCATCATAACAACAAGCAGTCAGAGTCTGCAGCCCATTGCTGAAGTCGTTCGTGGAAGCAACACTTGACCCTTGACAAGGGGAAGGTATGGCTTGGCACTCGAAAGCGCCCCCTGTCTCAAAGTTGCACTGCTTTAGCCCATCCTGCATCTGTCCTGTCCCGGCACAGCCTGAGCACAGAGTTTGCATGCACACAGGTAACCCCAAGGGGGAGGGAGGACTAAACCCTAGACTAGGGGGCAAGGAGGAGGCAGGCGTTTGGCAGTCGTCGTCGCAGTCGCCATCGTCCAGCAAGGTGCTGCCACTGCGTCGTTCGGCCAGTTCGCCCCTCGTGCTCGTGATCGAACCATCCTCAGCAATTCCATGGCGTAGGCACTGCGAGGCAGGGTGGACCAGGGGAGCCCAGCTAGGGCTACATAGAGGGGTAGAGGAGCTCACAATGTGAGATCTTTGCCCTTCAGCGGGTCTTCTTTCGAGCTCTGGGGACGGCCCGTCACAACTCCTTCTTAGTCCTTGAGCGGATCTTGTTTCGAGCTTTAGGGTAAGCCCGTTTGGGGAGCAACACCTAAAGCACTCACAGGCTGCGTTGCCGCCGCCCCCATCACGGACCTCAGCAGCCTCACATGCACAGATTGCGCCCGCAGCTCGCTCGGCAACGATCGGTCCTGGAAATGCCGTCGTCGCCCTCGAAGACAGCTGCAGCCTGTTGATTTTCAGGTCGCCAACATTGACTGCGGCAGCATCTTGGCAGTCACCTGATGCACAAACGCCACGGCAGGCAGCACACTCTCCGGCACCATTGGCTCCGTAGTTGCCAGCACCTTTGCCGACGAGAGCGCCACAAGCACCAGTGGCAACATTGCCACCCTCAGCTGTGGAGGCTCCACCGCCACCTGTCGCCTCGCCACAAGCGCTGATTGCAGCAGCCTCCGCCTCACTTGCGCTGATTGCTCCATCACCGCGCTGATCGGCCCGGATGGAGGCGCAAAGCAGGACGGAAGAAAACACTACTTGATGTTTTTGCCCTTCAGCGGGTCTTCTTTCGGGCTTAGGGAGGTGCCCGTCACAACTGCATTTTGGTCCTTGAGCGGATCTTGTTTCGAGCTCTTGGGGGAGCCCGCTTGGGGAGCCAACCCTAAGCTGCTCACTGTGCACGATCTCGGCAAGGTTGAAGTCACAGCAATCGTCCTCTGCGAAAGTAGGAAACTCGTCGACCTGACAGGTGCCAGAAGCATAAGCCCCCTGACATTCAAAGCCGACACTTGCACTGATTGCACCGCCACCGCCAGTAGCAGAGGGTGCATCGATGTTCCGCTGACCTGTGGCTCCATCGCCACCACCGTTCGGAATGTCGCTGGCACAGCCTGCCGCCACTTCACAAGCACTGATTGCTGCAGCCGCTTCTTCGCATGCGCTGATTGCGCCGCCGCTGTCGGAAGCCGCCGCCTCACACGCGCTGATTGCTTGGTCCGGTACATCTGCTAACCCAAGCAGGACACCGAACTCGCCCTCACAAAACCATGGCATGCTTGGATCAACACCCAAGGCCAACATGCGTTGCTGAGCCATACGTGCAACAGCCAAGTTGGCAGCACGTCTAGCCACTAT